ATGAAACTTAGTACAAAGATGCTCTAGGACAATGTACAAACCTAATTAGTTTGGGCTCTGTTTATATTAATTCCCTAATAAGCATAATAATTCATAATTTTTTCGGTTCTAATCACATTTCAATTAAACTTGGAAACATAGATTTTCTGTTACATTGTGCAGACCTCATTAGTTTTACACTCAAATCTGGTCATATTAATTTTCTGATTTGCATAATTAGTTTTCAGCTAAGTAATTTCGAATTATATTTAATGTGTCTCCAATACTCTCAGCACATGGGAGTTCTTTCTAAGCTTTCTTTGATACTTTAGTCTGTCTTCAGCTTGTTCTCAATGTTCTTTGTACCAGCCATGTTATATCTGGCAGATAGTTTCAGTATTTTCCACACTGATACCCATTCATTTGAAGGCATGTTCTTAATCAATCCCCAATGGAATCTTATTTTTACCTCACCATGAATATACTATGTCTTCTTAATTATACATAATTGACCTCTGAAGCAGTTAACTATATATAACACTGTCTTACCTGTGTCTGTATTAAAGATTTGCATTTATTTCAAATATGGTGGATAGTTATCAAAAATGTTCTCTCATTCACAACCTACTTGTCATGTTACTTTTTATTCAGTTGTATTTGTTTTGTTTTAGTCCTTCATCTACGAAGGTAAAACCGGTGAAAAGATTGCAGAATTGGGCAACGGTGCTAAGTCGGCTCACGCTGGTGGCATCTATGGGGTAAGTACAGTTGTATTATATTAAAATAGCGACTTCAAATATTTATTTTTTCATTTTCTTAGTCATTCTCTGAAGCATACTGGTAACCATAGTATTACTAATTGTTTGATTATATATATTCAGGTATGTTGGAGCCCAGATAATACTCAAGTATTGACGGTATCAGCAGATAAAACAGCCAAAATATGGGATATAGAAAAACACCAGGTTGTAACGTAAGTTAGTCAATATTATGTGTCTCCCTCAGAGAAGGTGCAAACCACTTTGCAGTATTTCAAAAAAAACAGTTAAGATGAATTTTTCCACATATTTGCTTTTTTTAAATGATAACTTTTTCTAAGAAATTGCAGTCAATATTACGAGTATGCATTTTCTGCACAGTAGTGTTAATGTGTGTTTGCAATTGAATTCAGTTGAACTTAACCTTCATGTTACTGTGCAACATTGTTTAATTGAGGGATGTGTCAATAAGTTCTAGTTTAATCATTCAGTAATAACAGTATTTAAAAAAAATGTACGTCCTTGTACATGTACATGTATATGTTGCTGTGGTGAAATATAACAATATTGTAGTTTTTGTAAAAAATTATTTTTATAGAAGTATGCAAATATTACTACATGCCACTTTCAGGAATTTTCATTCCAATTTTTTTTTTTTTTTTCAGTGAGTTCATCATGGGTACAACTATCAATGATCAGCAAGTGGGATGCCTATGGCAGGGAGATTATTTACTCTCTGTATCCCTGTCTGGATATATCAATTATTTAGATAAAAATAATCCTTCCACTCCATTGAGAATTATAAAGGTAGGTTTTTCTAGTTCTGTAGAATGTATAGAACTGTCTAGTAGATTTACATGAGATTGTATGGTGATGGTTTGGGTAGGGGTGCAAGTATCCAACTATTTTACAAAAAATTCTGTTTCATGTAAAACCATGTTTTCTGTATTCATCTTTTATCACAGGGACACAACAAATCTATCACTGCAATGAGTGCTGTGTTATATGAAAATAAGTCAACTCTCTATACAGGAAGCCATGACGGGATTGTCAATATCCTTTGATTACTTCTGTCCTGATGTAATGTGTGTATTCATCAAGAGGTAACAGTAATATAGTATAGAGAGTATCATTGGAAGGGAGGGGCATTGGGATGAGGAGTAATGGAAGGGAAGGGCATTTGGAGGAAGGAACATCAGGAGGGGGAGCACTTGGAAGGAGGGACATTGGGAGGGAGGGACATTGGGAGGGAGGGACATTGGGAGGAAGGGACATTGGGAGGAAGGGACATTGGGAGGGAGGGACATTGGGAGGGAGGGACATTGGGAGGGAGGGACATTGGGATGGAGGGCCTTTGGGAGAGAGTAGCTTTGGGAGAAAGGGGCAATGAGCGAGAGGGGCATTTGGAGGAAGGGACATTAAGAGGGAGAGCATTGAAAGAGGTGGTATTGTTGGTGGTATTGGGAGGAAGGGCTTTTAAAAAGGATATTTTATTTAGTATGTGTGATTAAAGGTATTTCCCTGTATCTAAAGTGGGATGTTTTCCTCCATAATGAATTGCGTATATGCGCAGTACATACTCCAAAGTTTGAAATCTGCTCAAATTGTCCTAAATTACGAACATATCTAGGGACAATAATTATCAAAATGTTGAGAACAGATTGGTTGCCTTGGATACAGGCTTGAGTATTCAAATGTTATTCTTGACCGTTACTACATCATTGGTCAGTGGAGTCTGGTGTGGCTGAATCTGTAGAAGGAAATGGACATAGCAATCAAGTGAATGAGCTTGCATCATGCTGTGATGTCATAGCATCAATTGGTATGGACGATACTTTGAAGACCATTGATCATAAGACCAATCAATTCTGGTGAGTTCAAGTTGTTACCATAGAAACATAGATTTTCTACTTAAAATTCCGGCTTAATAAATCAGTTCATTATTTAAAGTACCAATGATGGTAATACGCGTATATCTAGGTTAGTGTAACTATAACATTGTACATTGAAGGCTGGACAGGAACAGATGTACATTTGGAATCATTGCTAGTCTAAGAGATTGGATTACAGAAGAATTACAAAATTCTTTTTTTTTGAAGATGAACAGTTTTCTGCATTACTGAACTTTCCACAGGGTATTGAGCTAATTCTTCATGTACAGATGAAACGTAGCTTATCTTACCAAACAAATATAACAGTTTCTGTAATACAGTATAACTGACAACACCATTCTATCATTAACTTAATAATTTTATTCTTCGTTAAAGAATATTATTATTTGCTTCATATTTATTATACAAAACATTAATTTCAGTGTTCTCCCCAGGAAAATAGCTTAGGATATCTGTAATTTGCATTACAGTAGGTTATTTTAATCACCTCTATTGTATTCATTGTTACACTGAATAGATTATATTGTTTGTCCGAAATCAATGAGTTGAGGACCCCTTACACTATAATGGCCTGGGAAGAAACCTGAAGCACACACTATGTAAAGTTACAACATAATTTGGTAGTTTTATAATAATTGTTTAAAGGCTAATGTAACATGATCAATCAATTTCTAACATTTTATTTTTACTGTAGTTCAAGTGTTGCCTTGGATTCTCAGCCTAAAGGTGTGGCTATTGGGAAAGATAGTTTGGTTGTTGTAGCTGAAATTAATGGGGTGAGTGATGATAGGTTTCTATGACATTTCTATGGTACCACTGATGTTGCTATAAAGCCTCCAGTCAAAAAAACTTATTGTAATTATAAGCACCATACGATGGAGTGAATTTGAGGAAATGTGAACAGAATTTTTCTTCTAGTTTACAAAGATCAATGCCTTCAAAGTTGTACTTTCATTTTGTTTTATTTGGACTGTATTGTACAAGACTTAATTAGTCCCTGTTCGGATGCAGTTCGAAAATGGATTGACCATTTTTGTGCTAAAAAATCATCAGATTTTCTGACATTCCGGAACCGGATCTCGGCCATTTATGGATGGATTTTGTTCAAACTTGGTACATACGTTAGACATTATGTGTTCCTGATGCACGCCATTTTTTAGTCACCCTTCGGACGCAGTCCGAAAACGGGCACTTATGTTTTGAACTCTGTGCGTCAGTGCTTCTGTGTGTGCGTGCGTGTATGCGTCCATACCTGTATCTTAGAAATGCCAGGACCAATCACAATCAAACTTCACACATGCATCATACATGACATTATACATATATACGTCAATTTAAGATTTAAGATGGCCGAATGGCAGCCATTTTTGTACTGAAAAATCATCAAAATTAAGCATTTCTCAGCTGTTTACAGATGGATTTTGTTCAAACTTGGTATATACATTGGACATTATAGAACCTTGATGAACATCACTTTGTTTTTCAGATCAGATTCAAAATGGCCGACTAGTGGCCAATTCACTACGTTCAATTACCCACCATAGACTCTGGTCAGTCAAAATGACTATTTTGAACTGTAGGCATTAATCAGCGATTCTGCCGGTGACGGAGAGATAGAATCCAGGTCAGGGGAAGCCCCATGACCTCAAGATTCTTTTACCCCTTACGTCACGAACCCACGTGATCGAGGCCACATGGCAACGCCATAGGCAGCCGTCCATCACTCTTAATTTCTCTCCCTCTCGAGTGGAGATGAAATCTAGCGAGCTCTGCTGGATCGCCTGCTTTTTTTTTCCTGTCCGGATTTATAGCTTGGGTTGTTGCCGCTGCTCGGCATCCGACATGGTAGCTGGTAGGATAAGTTTTCCTTGTCTTTTTTTACCCTTGTGTCGTTTTCCCCTTTGTGTGTAGTATTTTTCACAGCAAAGAAATCAAAATCCGGCGCCACTATGTAGT